ACTGTGTATAAGAACAAAAGAGGGGGGGGGAAGAAAAAAAAAAAAAAAAAAAAAAAAAAAAAAAAAGAGGGGCAACAGAGGGATCCAAAGCCTGGAATTTATGAAATCCTTGGTATTTTCTTAGCATAAAGACAGACAAAGCAGATCCAATTCTTCATGATCTTCACAGCGCCTTAAGAAGAGTTCTGGCTTTGGTAACCATTTCGTGGCATCAGGATTGCCTCAACCTGCTCCTTCCACACTGCTTTTGCCTTATGGACTTGATACCACCAGAGCCTAACACTTGAACACTACGTCAAACTTCTGCCCATCAATGTACTTAAGGTATCCTAAGCAAGGGAAATACTCCTAATGAACATGTTCCACCAGCAAAATGAGATCAATGTAAATCTTTACCAGCCACCCTAGTACAGGCTCTCTCTTAAATAGTAGCTTTGTTCAGAAATTATGACAAGTTACGCAGAAATTTTTCATAAAGTTAAGATTCCTTTAAGTAATTCTGAACAGAAGGATATTGAAAAATTAGACTGGGCAACAGAGCTTAACCATTTCCATTAACTGTTTAAATCCCAAGACTGAAGCCACAATAAATAGCACTGAATTCGGTTGCCCTTTGCTTGTTTAAGCTCTATACACAAAAATTTTCAGAGAATTACATAGTTATAATCAACACAATGTCAGGCCTTGTTTTTTCGATAAACAGGGATTTACCATTTTATTTAGCCTATCAAAAGGCTGAACATGATCCAGCAGAATAAATAAGAAACAGGACTTACTGGATATTGTGCCAAGTGGCAGAACTGTAAACCAACTTTTTTACATAAATAATGACTTAGTCTCACAGCATACATCCAAACTATTTCACTGACCTGCTAGAGAAGAAAATAAAATTTTGGTAATGACAAGGTCTTACTCCTGTAGGTTCAAATCATTTTTGTCACTCATTTTTAGATTTACAGCATCCCCGTAATTTCGGGAAAGACTGTTTTTTTTTTCTCTCTCTCTCTCTCAAAAAAAAAAAAAAAAAAAAAAAAAAAAAAAAAAAGGAGGGGGGGGCAGGGGAACCTAAAGTGCAATGTCCTAAAAAGCTCCTTTAAATACAGATATCTAGATAACCAGTGTTAAAGCATTCTGCTTTCAACACGGCATTCCCACTTCTTTCTCAATGTAATGGGATACATTCAAGTCAAATGCCAATTTTCAGAAATAGCTCCATTACTGGAATAATTGAAAACAGTAAGTGCAGACAAAGCAAAACGTGCTGGCTTGCTCAAAACTGAACTGATTTGCCTTAGGAATGATATAAACAAGCTTATGAAAGAGCTGAAACAGAACAGATAGGACAGAAATGGTAATAGTCCAACTCCACAGAGCTGCTGCCAGTTTTCTGCAGACAGTTTTCTATGTTCTAGCAAGAAACAGTACATGCCTGAATGCAAACCTCCAAGCTTTTTCCTTGCTCTAGTATTAACAGCAGAGCTTAATTCACACACAAAACGCAGGCTAACTCTGGAGTGACCGAAACCAGAGACCCCTCTGCTGCTATCAGTGATTCACAACCCACGACTTGACCTCAGAATCTGCAACTTGCTGCCAAACTTGTGCCCCCAACTCCGATCTTCCATGTATCGCCAGCGTGTTCAGGTCAGGATGAAAAGCTTTAAGCAGCAGAACAGGACAGAGCAACGCTGCGTGGTGCCTATAGCCTGAGCCAACTGAGGCAGCTCAGGGATGGACTGTGCCTATTCATTTATTTGCAAGAGATCTTTTCCCTCTTACAACTCTTAGAATTTCTTTGAGCAGTGAAATACAAACCAGTAATTCTTTTCTAGTTGAATCACGTTAATTTTTTACTTGTTGCTGGCATTTAACATTAAAATCTCATTCAACCTGAATTAATTCTTAGTTGTATGACAGCTTTAGACTGCTCCCTTGCATTTCTATTCCTCCAAAGGAGCAGCAAAATGGTAGTTATCAAGTATGGTTTCCTAGATGATCTCTTAAATGTTAAAAAATTAAGTCATTCCCTCCTACTGTCAAGCGAAGAAATTCAATGAGCTATCCTTAGTATCTCACCTTGATACTCCTTTTCTTTGATCAGAAAAGTCCCCGTAGCACTGAGACAAAGCATTCATAACTGATGAGTATGACCAGTTAAACCACTGTTTATAATCCAATTTCTTATGTTTACCTACCTTGTCAAAAATTCATCTCTGGAGATTAACATCAGAGCACTTGTCTTCATGGATTTAGTATAGGTCACAAGCTCAAGGAGAAAAAAAAAAACCTAGAAAAAACTGTAAATGGCTATTGCTTTTATAAGCAACCAGCATTAATTTGTCATTTAGCCAAACTGATACCTTTCAGGACACTTAACTAGGAACAGAAAAGACCGCAGTAATTTCTGAGACCAGCTAGAACCTTTCAGAATACCTCATTGTCCTCCTTTAGCATTAGAGATAAATTCTTCATTTCTTGTTTTGCAATTCCCTTGGCAAGGATAAGTGAAGGGACACAATGAGCCCTATGCCAAAGCACCTACTGAGATTCTTTGAAAAACAGCTACCAGTGTAAACTAAGTACACAGTTATGTGCAGTGACTCATATATCTGGCCTTGGCAGTCAGACTAGGAGCAGACACCACACTACTCTTCTCCCTGTGAAAGGCTTCTCAGTGTTGTAAGCAGCTGATAGAGACCATACAGCTGGACCATGGAGTGGCATCTAAGTAGCAACACATTTACAACCACAGCAGCTTTCTGGGACACCTATGAGAAAACAAGCATGACTAGCAACTGACTTTTGACTTTTAACTTGTTTGGAGATGAGGAAGTTGGTTCAAGTATGTATTTTTAGATTGTTCTTTAGCTTGAAAGACATTTTCACCTTTGAAGTGCAAGAAATTTAGACAGCAAACATAAGTAATCAAGATTATTAACACAGTGTTCCTGGTGCAAAAGGAGGTTGATACAAAGGAAGGTATGTTCTTCTGTCTTAAATCTTTAAAAGTCCATATTCTTTCAAAAAAGAATACAGGGATGATGCAAAATCAGGATACAATATCACACATAGTCATTAAAACAAGTGCACAGGTAGGCAGGCTAAACTTGCATTGATATTCACTTTGGGATCCACCTTCCAGACTTTCCTTGTCCATTTCCTTAACATCCATATATCTCATTCTCCACCCAAGCTGATTCCTTGCTCCTTCCCACGTGATCTCCACACAATTCATAGATATCATTGGTCACAAAGCCACTTGGTGTATTCATTGCCACATCATCATAATCCCCAGAGAGATTGTCAAGCATCTTATGTTCTCGTGTGCGAAATGATGAGTTCTTAATGTCAGGCCTGGTTCCAGTCAGATCCGCTTCTGATTGCTTCTTAATTATTTTGTAAACCTCCAAATTCGGACTGTTCCTCCTGTGGGTAGAGAGCCAGGCATCTTCATCCTTTGGGCTCGTATCTATTGGCTCCCGTTTCCTTAGAGAAAGGAAGCAACAGGTCCTAATGTGCTCATGTACAGAACCAAACAAAACACCAGTACCTCAATAACCTAAAGATTTTCAGCAGAGCTGACAAAAGAGCCCAGATAGAGCAAGTTTGCTATCACTTGCAGCTCCAGATGTGGGGCAGGCAGCACCCCTAGGGCAGCCCATGGGAAGCTGGGTCCTGCACTGGCCCCTGGCATCCCAAGGCAGTGAGGGTCAGGTCTGGCACAGCCAGCACCACATCCCTTTCTGTGCCAAGGCAGCCATGCACACAGGGAAAAGGAGGGAAGACCAAAAAAAGCTTGGTAGAAGAAGGGTCATTACTCTGGAGCAAATAATATTGATTTCTTCAAAGAGTATCTCCTGCTCTCTTTGCAGGAATCTGATTTTAAACCAGCTTTACCACTAACACTTCAAATCATCTTGTTTTAACTATTCCCCATCGAGCATATATTTGTGGCTGAAAGCAGTTACTTTACAGAATCCTTAAACTGGCAGTAGAATGATTGTTTGCACAAGACACCCAAGTTCACCTGTTAAACAATGTCACTTGCCTCTTTGCAAAAAGCCAAAAACAGAAGATGGCTGTAACGACCATCAGTAGCAGCAGCACAGGAATGCTGGGAATAAGGATGTAGGCAAGACTCAGAACAGGCTCTAGGGGTAAAAATATGAAATTCCAGCTTTTATTTACTTTCAGATCTATTCGGCATGCACTTTATAGAATTTTATAGAAAAATAAGTTATTAAACACAGCACTGCTACACCCCAAAGGGCTTCAAGTCCTGTTCACAATCTACCAATCCTCCTCAAAGGCAGCAACTCCAATACAGATTGATATGTAGTTAGTAAGTAAAATAACCTGAAGTTTTCAAGATAAACTAGCAGCCACTGCCATCTCACTGTGAGAAGGCAATGGTAGTGCAAGTTAACAAGATGCACTGTTCTTTTAAAAGCTTATGAATCCCCATCCAAAGGATTTCAGAGCGGGGAGGGTCTTATGACCTACAAACTTCTAAACATCTTATTCTTTGGCCATCTATATGAAGGGAGAAATAAAGTATAATGAATACTTAAAATTTCTTTTAGTAGTAAACTAAGAAAACATTACCAGTTTTCACATTCCAGAGCAATTCAGTAAGTTAAAAGTACTTTTTCTCAGGCCCAAGTATTTTACGCAGCTTTAGTTTTTAAACATTTTGGTACTCAAAGCAAGCTCTTTCTGCTTGTACTGGTAAAGATTTATGGGGGAAGTTTTCAGCTGCAATTGTCTAAACTCAGTCCATATTGTGGATCAAATACTCCACATCTAAATGTTGACTTGGCAGCCACATGTGAGATGGAGGCCTGCAGAGCTAGAGAAGGGGCCAGCTGATGACCACAGGGCTTACCTTGGGCTTCTTTAAGTGTTCCATTAGCATATTTCTTATGGTGTTCTTCTGGCAACACTGGCTTCACTGGCTCTGTTGCAATATCTGGGAAGAAGGTATTAGTGGATATCATATTGCAGATCTTAGCTGGTAGCTTTATCATAAGTGAGAAGAGATGGAAGAGACTTCCATCTGCCAAGACATACAAGGCATATCAACTTAGCACTATTTTGCTCAAGTCTCTACAGCATGAGCAGGGGGTCCACATACTACATCCACAGGCAACACTACTGCACCAGCTTGGATTACTGAACAGCAGGAGTAAACTGCAAAGAAGCTTCTTTGCTCATGAAGCTTTCAGTGTGTGAGGGTCCTTGATAATGAATGCTAATGGAATAATTCTAAGAGTTAACGCATCTTTTAAAAAAGGCTAAACCAAAATTATGCAACTCACCTGTTTCAGAATTCTCTCTTGCAGCATTTGTTTGCTTCTCTAAAAGGAAAAAGAGACACATAACCTCCTTATTATCTTGAGTAGGGGCAGATCACATCTACCATCAACAGTCTAGGAAACCAAGTACCCTTCTTTGCGTTCCCTCTCCTTCAGGCCCTGTTTGAGATATCAAACACTTAACAAAAATCCTGACAGCTCATGTAATTAAGTTGCTATGGTTATTGGATAGGGAGGTGGTTTTCCCCAGGATTTGCCTCAGTTTAAAAGTGTCTGTCTCCTAACAGGTATTCCCAGTGAAGCTGGGGGCTTGCCATACACACCATCACACCTTCCTTATAGCTACTCCTGGGGACAGGGAGCAGGCTGGATTTTAAAGATTGGGAATGGCTCATTACCAAGAGAATATTTGCAAATGAAGTTGTTTTTCATGTTGCATCTGTCATCATTCCACTGAAACATATAAGGGCCTCCAACACCTGGTGGGGCAGATGGCTGGTGGTACATCACAACACAGACTTCACTCCCACAGGACGGCTCATCTACATACCAGTTCCTAGGAAAACAAACATGTCAAGTCAGACTTTCAGTAACCTTCCATGATGCTGCAGAAGCTTCTGCCTAGAAACGTATTAGCAAAAACTGTCTTGTGAGTATTTCTTCCGAATCAATCCTGCCAAGTGGGACAAAGGAAGTAGGCTTTCACTATTCAGCAATCTAATATAATGAATACTAAAGAGGCATTTTATATGTTGCAGAAGAACATGTCTTTTAAGACTACATGCCCTGATTTTGAAGAGAGTTCAAAAGGCACTGATTTTTGAACAACCAGGATTCTGCATGCCAAGCACTTTTGGAAAGCCAGTCCATAAAAAAAAATCCAGATATACCAAGATATTAAACATGGGGAAGTGTTAAAGCAATAATTTTGCAATCATTACAGAGCCCTTCAGGTGCTCCCCTTCAGTCCCCTGCCAAGGGAACAAACTGCATCACTTCATGCAAACAAGCTATGCCCCACTAATGAAAGACAAAGCTATATCAGTTCCTTAGCAGAAGCAGATCTGGGTCTAACTCCCAAGTAAGTATTTCAATATCTCAATGCCATAAGAAGCTTAAAACTGAATAGTACTCATGGCAGTTTTGTTCACTCCTTCACTGAGGAAGTAAAACTTATGGTACTTGAGGAGTACCCTGTGGAAATGGCTATCACTGCCTGCAGAGACAGTGAGCAAGCACAGCTGAGACACTACTACTCAGTTCCTTCCAGAGGACTGCTTCCACCTGCTCCAAGGTGGAAAGTGGGTCCTTCCCCAGGCTGCTGTCAAGTCTCTTGCTCAAGTACCTACCTGAACTTGGACGAGCTGCCATCTGACCAGGAGTAGAGGTCCTGACACTCCGTGCTATTGTCTACATCATGCTTTTTCCTCCTAAGCCCTATCCAAAAGTCTCCATCAGAAGCCAGGAGACTTTCTATAAATTTCTCTATCAGTTTTTGTTCTGCTGCTGTTTCAATACTGACTAGGTGGCCGCCATCAGCTCTGCAGGCGAGGTGTGCTTCTTCATAGCTGATCCTGCGTGAAACATCATGGAAGTAAACTATTTTATAGCACGGCCGCTGCGTTCCACCCCGGCAAACTGTCTGCCCTGCAGAAACAGAAGGAAACCTGTTACAGAAATGGTGCCTGTTCGAACAAGAAGTGAATGCCGATTCTTCTCTTTGGCCAAGCTTTGCACTCTAGGACAATTTATAGAGTGCAGCAGGGGTGAAAAGAGTAACATGGCCTCCCTTATCACTGAAATAGTACAAGGCATCCCTGGATTGCTTCCTGCACACAGTTTAGGCTGATCTGCACAGCACAGCGCTTTCGTGCTCTGCACTTCTCGGCTCTCCCATGAGTTCCCTGCAATTTGAAGACCCCAGGAGTTCCTTACACAGAAGTAATGCTGTGCCAGAGAACAAGCTGACACGTGCAACATTAGAGTCCCCCCCCCGCCCCACAAGTGCTCAAGGGGGCAATTTTTTAAAAAAAGAACTTAAGTGGCTTGAAATAGAGATTCCCTTACACAAGCAGAAGTAATTACCCTCTGTGGTGTACAGACTTCCTGTATGCAATCTACTGCAGTAATATCAAGATCCATTCACACAGCCTAATTTATAAGCAATGTGCTCCACTGTGAAGTTACTGGCTGGTCAGGAAATAAACAAGTCTGTTTTCAGACCATCATAAGCCAAGATTTTTCCTCATGCATGAAGCAGCAGCTTATTTTGATTTTAAAGAAAGTAATGATTCTAAGTGAAGAGACAGATAATCCAAAACTTATGTATTTGTGTATTTCACGGAAGAGTTCCAACATTTAGACTGTGGAAACAAATTTCCATTTTACTTAGCAAATATTTCTATTTAAGCTGGCGGTATAATCTTCTAAATACTTTGAGAAAAGAAAAAGCATCCAGCAACTACATGGAAAAAAGCAGCAGCCATTACAGAATCAGAACAAAAGGCATGTGTGAACGGGTCATTATAAATTCACACAGGTTGGATATATTCTACTTCTCTCTCCATCTTCTTGCATGGCTACACAGAGCATGGGAATTTTAAATGTATTTTACAGCCAATTTTTTAAGCACTTAAGTACAAAGAGCCAGAGAGTATGTTAACGCTTCATGGGAAAAATATAACTATTTGGGCAACAAAAAAAAAATCACCTCAAAGTATCTTTGGGCAGAAGGTGTGTTTCTTTTTCTAATTTAAGAAATGCATGTTTCGTTCAAAAGGCAAGAGACTTTACCTCTTCTGAGGGACATGTCCACTGCTGCTGCGAAAGCCACAGAGAAAAGCATGTTATAAAATTGCAGCAATTGCCTAGAAGCAGTGCCACCTATGAACTGTAGCTGGGTACTTTCCTGATATTCAAATTATTTTCGCCATACGCTAGAACATCTGCCTTGCTGGCCAAACGTGCCCTTGCTCATCGCTAAGAAGAAGTAGTTGATTCCAGTCCACTCACTCCAAATGAACTTTCCAAACAGTGATCTCACTGGTGTAGATTAGGTAACAAGAACACTGGACATGGGCCTCTAACCAAGGCTGAAAGCGTTCTTTGTATTCCCCCCTTACCTCCTCAGTGCAAACGCTGGATCTGCTTCTGAGCTTGCTGACTGGAGAAAGCCTTGGCAACACAAGGCTAGGAAAGAGTCAACTGAACTGCCAAGGAAAATCCGATGAAAGGAAATAGCAGCTCCAGCCCCCCCTCCCGGGTGGCAGCTCTGCAGCTTGCTGCCACAAAAGCAACCCCGCTGCAGACAGCGGCATTCCAGAGTTAGAAATGGACTGACTTCTGCGGGTAGGATTAACATGAACCAAGGAGGAAACTTTTTGAGCAGCAATGATCAGGCTTCATCTTGAACACACTACATGATTAGGTTCGGGATACGCTGCCGCCCCTTGTCTGGCTATTCTGCACTACGCGTGGTCCAGCACATTCCTCCAGAAGTAGCCTAGCCCGCCCCACTTGGAGACTACACCCCAAAGCCCGCAGGTCCAGCTCGCAGCTGCTGCACACTTACTCCCAGTAAGTCTCCACGTAGGAGCTGAAGCTCCTCTGTGCAAAACCAGGCAGAGCAGACTCGCAACCCCAAGCGCTAGCCCGGGCAGAAGGGCAGGGGCAGCAGCGCGCCGCAGAGGCAGCCTCGCTCCTATCGGGGCGCGGGGCAGCGGCAAGAGGCGCCGCGGCCGGGCCC